AGTAAAGGCGGTGCTTGGGGTTCGAGTATTTCTGTCCACTCACGCCCCCCCCCGTCGCCACGCCATCAACATTAATTTCGGGGGGTCTGGGGGGCATCTTGTGCCACAGGGTTCGAATCTGATGTCCATGTACGGCCCCTCCCTCGCGTTCCTCCCCCTTCTTCCGGGGGCGAAGAGCCGAGTACCCCTCGCCTGGCGTGGCCCCGTGGGCTCAGGTGCCACGAACCACCGATGCATGGCCTCCGCGTGCCGTCGACCCCCTGAAGGATCGGGTACCCTCCGGTCGGAAGAGGTGGGCAGGAACGTGAAGCAGGAAGGCGTTGGAAGCAGATTGGATGTCCGCCCGCCCCCTGAAGAGGAAGGCAGAGGTGGAGCCACTCGAGCCTTGAAGCAGGAGGGCGCAGAAAGTAGCTTGGAACCTGGGGCTCCCAAAAATGCCTACTCTCGTTGACCCGTGGGTATCGACAATCATGTCGCTGGCACTCTGCGGGGGGGGGGTCCCAGCCCCGTCTTCTCCCTCCCTCGCGCTCCCCATCTGCTTCCGGGGGCGAAGGCACGGGGGGGGACTGGCCCGCTGGGCTTGCTCCTCAGGGCCACCCTCCTGCAGTTCTCGTGCGCGGGCCTCGGCCCCGCTGCCCAGAAGTCGACGGGCGACGCGCCGGCGCCGCTGCCCACCGGTGCAGCGGCGGCTCCACACGAGAAGCCCGCACCGGGGGGAGCATCGACCTCCCGAACCGCCCACGCATGCTCGGTCGGGGCCCGGGGTGCCGCTCCCCGCCCGGGGGGGCGTGGGCGCGCGCGTGTGCGGTCGGGGGCCTCTCTGTCGCCGATCGATCCTTTGGCGGCGCATGTCCGAGGCCAAGTCTTCGTGCCCCCCCCCTGGGCCAGTCTCTCCTGTCCTCGGCTGCGGTAGGGGCCCGACCACGAGAGACCTGCCACGAGAAGGCCAGCCCCGAGACCCCAGGGCGTCCGTCGGTTCTTGGTATGGGAGCATCGCGTGCTCCATCGCAAGACCATCGAAGCCCAAGAAACCCGTGGCACCCTGGAGGCAAGCAGGGCGTTTCTTGGCATGGGTTTCCGCTGCACGCGCGAGAACGATCCTGGGCAAGAGTGTCCTTTGGTGCGCGGCTCAACGGGGGACGCCGGGTGGCCACACCTGGGCGCGCAGGCCGCTGCCACCGCGTCGCGCTCGGCGATCGGGGAACCCCCTTGGGCCCGCATCGAGGGCCACTCCGGCGAAGGGTCACTCTTACGTTCAGTCGATGTTTCACCCCTCATCCTCCCTCCTCCCACCCCCATGCGCCCATCTCGTCCCCCCCTCACCCTGCCCCCTCGTCCCCCCCACTCATCCTCATCCTTCGTCCGCGTCCCCCCCCTCGTCCCTCACCCTTCCTCCTTCTGTTCGCACCTCCTCCTCCCCCCTCGCCCCCCTCCCTCGTCCTCAGTCCTCGTCCCCCTCTCCCCCTTGTCCCTCATCCTTCCTCCTTCTGTTCGCCCCTCCTCCTCCCCCCTCGTCCCCCCCCTCCCCCCCTCGTCCTCATCCCTCGTCCTCGTCCCCCACCCCTCCCCTCATCCCTCATCCTTCCTCCTTCTGCCCCTCGTTCTTTCTCTATTGTTTTGTTTTTTGTCTATCTCTCTCTCTCTTTCTCTTTCTCTCTCTCTCTCTCTCTCCCTCTCCCTCTCTCTTTTTCTCTGTCTCTCCCTCTCTGTGTTCTCTCTCTCTCTCTCGCTCTCTCTTCTCTCTTCTCTTTTCTCGATATATCTGCATTATCTCTCTTGCTCTCTTTACCTATGCGACCACCCTTCGGGTGATAAGGAGGTTCGGGGGGGAGGCTACAACGTCTCACTCGATCGGTTTCACTATCGATCTCACAATTGATCTCACTATCGGTCTCGCTCGATCGATCTCACTCGATCGATCTCACAATCGATCTCACTCGATCTATTTCATTCGATCGATCTCACAATCGGTCTGACGATCGGTCTCACAATCGATCTCACCATCGATCTCACGATCGATCTCACAATCGATCTCACATTCGGTCCAACTATCGATCTCACTATCGATATCACAATCGGCATCACCATCAACGTCATCATCATCATCATCATCATCGTCATCATCATCATCGTCATCAACATCGTCGTCATGAACGTCATGAACGTCATCATCATCAGCATCATCGGGACACCATCATCAGCACCACCTCATCACCATCATCATCTGCGTCATCAGCATCACCATCATTATCATCGGGACACCATCATCGTCACCATCGTCATCATCAACATCGACATCGGGACACCATCATCATCGGAACACCACCGTCAACATCATCATCATCATCACCATCTCAAATTCATGATCATGAACAACATCATCAACATCATCCTCATCATCGGGACACCATCATCATCATCACCATTAGCAACATAATCATCAATATCATCATCATCACCAGAACACCATCATCATCGTCACCATTATCACCATCACCATCATCAGACAACATTATCGGGACACCAACATCATCATCATCATCAGCATCATCATCACACTGATTGGGCCACCATCATCAAAGTCATCATCACCTCATCATCATACTCATCATCAACATCAGCATCATCGGGACACCATCATCGTCATCGCCATTATCATCAATAGCATCATCATCAACCTCATCATCATCATCGTCATCATCATCATCCTCATCATCATTATCATCGGGACACCATCATCAACAACAACATCATCATCAAATCATCTGATCATCGTCAACATCCTCAGGATCATCAGCATCATCATCATCATCGGGGCACCATCATCATCATCAGCAACATCACCATCATCAAAATCATCATCATCGGGGCACCATCATCACCACCACCATCACCATCAACATCGTCAACATCATCATCATCAGCATCATCGGGACACCATCATCATCACCACCATCACCATCACCATCATCATCATCATCGTCAACATCATCAACATCATCATCATCATCATCATCATCATCATCATCATCATCATCGGACACCGACTGGACACCGGCGGGACACCGCGCGCCACCGGCCCCCGAACGGGACACCGGCGGGACACCGCGGGGCATCGGTTGCCGGAACGGAGACTCTTGGTCCGGCCGCGCCTCAGCTACAGGAGACTTATTTCTCGCCCGCCCACGCAACTTCGCCTTGCCCGCACGCACGGCACGCACGAACACGAAACCGAAACCGATTTCCCGGTAGGGGGGCTCTCCGTTCCACTTCGATCTCACACCCTCACCTCCGATATACAGTCAGCCCGCATAGTAAGGATGGGGAACCTTCCCAAGGGTACCCTTGCATCCTTGCCTCCTCGGTCCATCCTTGACCACTTCCGCTGGCCGCGCCCCGCTCGAAAAGCTTCGAAATGGGCGTCCAAGGCCCTTGCATCCTTATCGCGTATCCTTATGATACAGGCCAGCTGTATAAGTAAGTAAGTATATATATATATATATATATATATATATATATATATATCAGGCCCCCCCCCCAGCACCCCGTGAAGCCCTATCTCGCTTTCTTTTCCGTTCCTCCTCCTCTTCCTCCTCCTGTTCATCTCCTTCTCTCCGTTCATATTTCCCCCCCCCCCTCCTCCTCCTCCTCCACCTCCTCCTCCCTCCTCCTCCTCTTCCTCCTCCTCCTCCTCCTCCTCCTCTTCCTCCTCCTTCTCCTCATCGTCCTCTTCGTCCTCCCCCTTCTCCTCTTCCTCTAGCTTCTCCTCCAAAGAGGCTTATGGGAGAAGATCTACCACGAAACCCTGCTATTCACAGTTTGTTTTGTTTTTTTTTTGGTCAGTGATGCCACGAAACATTGCTATTCAGATGTTTTTTTTGTTTTTTGGGGTTTTCAGAAATCTGCGAACTTCGCCAGGAGGCTGATGGACGGTGAAGACCTGAAAAAAACATGTGAATAACAGGGTTTCGTAGCATCGTGGCGAGAAAACCTTGCTATTCACAGTTGTTTTTTTTGGGGGGGTATTTTTGGCTTCAGCTGGAAAACCAAAAAAAACTGTGAATAGCAGGGTTTCGTAGCATCGTGGCGAAAAACCATGCTATTCACATGTGTTTTTTTTTGTTGTTGTTTTGGTTTCAGCTAGAACAAAAAAAAACTGTGAATAGCAAGGTTTTCTCGCCGCCAAACCACCAGACACTGCTATTCACAAGTTTTTCTGGCGCTCATCGGCGCCGACCATCGCCGGCGAAGTTTGCAGACCTCTGAAAACAAAAAAAAAATGTGAATAGCAGTGTTTCGTGGTATCACTGACCATTTTTTACAAAAAAACTGTGACTAACAGTGTTTTGTTGCCCTGCTCCTCCTCCTCCTCCTCCTCCTCCTCCTCCTCCTCCCCCTCTTCAGCCCCCTCGTCCTCCTCGCCCTCCTGCCCCTCCTTGTCCTCCCCCTGCTAGCCCGACCCCTTTGATTCTTACTCCTCCCGTGCTCAGAATTTTCCTGCCCCACCTTCTGCCTTCTCTCCCTTATTATTCTTCTCCTCACCATCATGTAAAACATCCGTCAGAAGGTGGTGTTGCTCCTGTCGGCCGCAGGCGCAACAAATGGCACAACCCAGCTCGGCTGTACGCTCGGCCGCTGATGGCGCAACAAATGGCACAACCCAACAAATGGCTCCTGGGACATGGCTGTGCGCTCGGCCGCTGATGGCGCAACTTATATACTGCAGCCGAAAGAAGAATATTGCATTCTCAGCCGCCGAGGGCGCAACCTCTGGCGCAACCACTCGGAGACGGTTGAATTTTCGGCCGCCGAAGGCGCAATTGTTATGATGACGCTAAACCCACATTTCGCTTCGCGGATTGCATCTGCATGGTGAGTGCAAGTCTGACCATGCACCTGGTCTCATAAGAACACTTCGGCAGAGCCGATTTAAACAACGCGTGCGCACGCGCGCCTGATGCCGAGTCACTCAGCGGGCTCGGTCAAGCCAGCGAGAGAGCTCACTGGCCGTAGTCCTTGGCCCACGCGTCGCGGAGCATCTGGCCAGTGGCGAGCCAGAGGTCGCTGCCGCGGTTCCAGTACGCCCATTGGAAAGAACGCACCTTGCATGGGCCAGAGAGCGGACAGGAACTGCGCATGTCGCGCTGGACCGCCTCTCCAAATCCCAGCGCGTGCCCCCCGCCAACCTTTTCGCGCGGGGCGAATGACACGTCCCACCCCCTCAAGGGCGACGTTCAGCTGCACTGAAATTTGAAGAGGCGGCGCCAGCGCGAACAGACGCGGCACGCGCCGTTCAAGTTGCCTGCCTTGTTGCGGAGGAGGACAGAGCCCACCGCCTTCGCGTTGCCCTCGCCGACTGCCTTGCGCAAGTCGCCCCAGGCACGGTCGATCAACTGCGTGCCGCACTTCACCCACAAGCGTTTCGTCCCACTGGGCTTGTTCTCGTCAGGCACATCGCGGTAACGGACCTTCGTGAAAGCAGGCTTCAGCCACACCCACTTCCCGCCAACCTGCACCCTTTTCTTTTTGTGGACAACCCAGTCGTGCAAGACGTCGTCGACCTTCATCTTGTACGACCTCGCGCCGTCCGTGTGCAAGATGACACGGCGGTTTTTCAGCCACTTGGACGCCACGGGCGCCCAATCTCTCTTCCGAATTGGGCCTGGGCCAGGCGCCCTGGCCCTCCTGTGCCCCCAGCGGCGGGGCCAGATGCACGCCATGAAGCGGTCCTGGGAACAAAAGAGAAAAAACACAATTTCCTCACCACCACCATCCCCCTTGCTATCCTCGCCAGCTGCCAGGCGCAACGACTGGTTAAGCCCGACATTGCGCCAAACAGCGGCTGGCGGTACGCCGCCGCCGTAGGCGGGGGCGTCAACAAATGCGTACTCGTATGCCATGCTGGAAGCAGGGAATGGCGCCTCACCTGCGTCTGGGCGCAAATTGCTGCGGCGACGGTAGCGAACTGCGGGCCGTGCCGCGTAGCATCAGCAGCGCCGTGAGCGCCAATGTGTTCTCAGCGCGCTTGAGTCACGGTGCGTTTGCCACTGGCCAAAAGTTTCGCTGTTGGTAGGTTGATATCGTTGTGATGTCGTGCGTGCGTTCTGTTTTGGTTTGCTGGTTTTCGCCTCCACGAGGGCATCCTAAAATGCGGATGCCCTTTTCCGCAACAGACGGCGCATATGTGCATCGCTGTCTCTGCGTCGACCCGAGTCTGTCGCTTAGGCGCGCTTGTTATTCTTGGTCGCTTGTTATGGTTGCCCCGCGTTGCTGTCCGGCTGTGCTTCTGTTTTCGCTTGTCCGAGGGCGCTCTAAAAGTTGTTCGTCGTTGCTGGCGGGTTGCCCGCGTTGTCGTCAACTGCTTTCCTGTGTTGTGCTTGTTTTGTCTACGGCTGTAGGCCCTCGCGGGAGGCATCCTAAAATGTGGATGCCCTTTTCGCTGCGAAAGACAAGCGCGGGTTCATCGTTGATTCTTCGCCGCGTGAGGTTTGTCGCTGCCTCTCGCTGGCCGTCGCTCTCCTCCCCGTCTGTTTCGCCCTCGTCAGCCGCCTCCGAGACTCTGGAAGGGGGCATCCAAACTAGGATGCCCCTTCTTAAGGTTCCGTTAACACTGAGTAGCATTGTTCTTGTTTGGTTTGCTTTTTGCGCGGTGCCCTGCCTCGTCGTGCCGTTGCTGCCCGGGGGCGTCTAGGCGCCGTCTTGGAGGCCTCTCGGATCGCCTTGAGCGGGGTGGCGGTGGTCTTGGAAGCTCCTCGGGTCGTCTTGCTGCGGTCCCGCTGGAAGGAGCGGTGGCCTTGTCTGCCGTCACTGAGACCTCTGGAGAGGGGCATCCAAACTAGGATGCCCCCTATCGGTCCAATAGGCATGGCCCGAGTCTCTTGGGGCCTGCTCGTTTTGTCGCCTCGCGCCCGAATTCTGAGGAAGAGAAAGAGGAGTGACGTGAGGAAGGTGAGAAAGAGAAGGACGAGGAAGGGGGAATGAGAAGGAGGAGGAAGAGAAAGAGGAATAAGAGCATGAAGGAACAGCAAAGGATGGCGTGAGGAGGAGGAGGAGAAAGAGAACAAACAAGAGGAAGATCGTTGGAACGATCGCTATCCGTGAGAACCCATTGGAGTGCGATCGGTTGGCAATCAATCGGCTGGCTTGCGACCCATTGGACTGGTTTCGATTAGGTTGCAACCGACCGCGTCGAAATAGACGTGACTGAATTCGGTTGGATTGCAATCCATTGGCTTGCCATCGTAGTCAGGCTGATGCCCTCCGGGCCAGTCGGCGAGGAGGCTGAGACGAAGGAGTAACAGGATGAGGATGATGAGGACGATGTGGATGAGGGCGAGGAGAAGGCGGATGAGGAGGAGGAGGATGAGGAGGAGGATGAAGAGGTGGGCGAGCAGGACGAGGATGAAGAGCAGAAGGGGGATGAGGAAGATCATCGGAATGATCACTCCCTGTCGATGTGCGTTGCTGCGGGGTCTCTCCGTCCCCCATCTGTTTCCTAATGTTCCTTCTCCGCCCCATTCGCCAACAAGGCTTGCGGCAAGATGGTCAACACGTCACACTGGAAAACGAAGAGGGTGATGAGGGGGAGAAGGACGAGGAAGAGGAGAGGAAGCAGGGTGAGGGGTAGGAGGAGGAGGAGGAGGAGGAGGAGGAGAGCGATGGGGATGAGGAGGAGGGATGGCTTGGAGGTGGGGGCGCTGAGCTATGGTTGGCGAGGAGGCTGAGGCGAAGGAACAGGAGGATGAGGATAACGAGATCAAGGACGAGGAAAAGGAGATGGGGAAGGAGGAGTAGGAGGAGGTGGAGGAGGAGGCGGATCATCGGAGTGATCGCATGCTGGAGGACGGGGTGCTGGGGGGGGGGGGCTGAGCTATATATATATATATATATATATATATATGTATATATATATACAGTATATAGACTGCATTGGCGCTTCGCGCCATGCATCTTGGTCGTTGAAGTTTGGCATGCAGGCGGGATAGCAGGAAGGTCAAACCGACACTTTAGCGATAATTTATTGTTAACTTTTCCGGCATCGCCGTTATATAATTACACCTAACAAAACCAAATCAGTAGATGATTTGAGAATTGATACTATGGATCTTGAGATCGATTATGAGATCGAGAATGAAATCCATACCGGAATCGATAGTGAGGACGATTGTAAAATCGATCGTGAGACCGATAGTGAAATCGACTCAATGAGATCGATAATGAGATCGATCGCAAGATCGCTCATGCGAGAGATACTGAGATCGCTTGTGAGATTGATAATGATATCCATTGTGAGATCGACGGTGAGATCGATCGAGAAATTGGTAATGACATCGATGGTGAGATCGATCGATGAGAAGATCGACCAGGAACCCGGAAACCCGGGAACGTCGCCGCCCTCCGACATAGGCCCGGAACCCGGAACTGGGAACCCGGGAACCCGGAACCGGAACCCGGGAAACCAGCCTGCCACCAAAAGTCGGCGGGGAACTTTCGTCCAATCCTTCAACATCCGCTAGGACCCCTTCAGTGCAAGCACTGATTGGGGAATCATGTTTCTCGTGATCCTTCCTCCATGTTTCTTTTACCTCATTCTCGCCATACCCTGCGTATTCTCCCCATCCTCCTCAGCTCTTTTTGCGGAGGCTCCTCCTTGGAGAGCCTCTAGGGGCCTCACAAAAGTTTTTCAGGCTTTCTTGAAGCCTTTTAGAAGCCTCCTGGGCGTCTTCTGGGGGCCTCTGGGGGTTTCCTCGGGCCACCCTGCCTCCAACCGCGGTCTCCCTGAACGACCGGGTCACGATTAGGAATGCTTCGGAAGGTGTCTTGGGGCCATCTTGGGCCGTCATGGGGCTCTCCTACATCTTAGAACCCTGTTGTGCCGTCTTGGAGCTCTCTTGACTGCCTGGAGCCCTTTCGGATGGTTGTGAAGCGATTTTCGAGACTCCCAGGCGGCTTCGGGCGCCCAGGAAAACGCCGTCTTGAAGCGTCGGGAAGCCGAAAAGAGGAGAACCACACAATTCACCAAAGACCACCAGAAAATCAATGAATTTTGCCTCTTGGGGCCTTCTTGGGAGTGTTCTTAGAAGCATCTTGGGACATTGTGGAACGATCTGTGGGTGTATGGCAGCTTCTTTGGGGTCGTCGTGGACCGTCTTGGGGCTCTCTGGGGTCGTTTCGGACGGGCGCTGGAACGCCTGGAGCCCTCTGGGGCCGTCTTCGGGCTCTCGTGGGGTTCTCCCGGGTCGTCTGGAGGGTTGCCCGAGAGGCCCAGGGTCAGCCAAATTCGTAAGGGGGGGGCGCTTTTTCAAGGGTCCCCGTCCCCATCGAATATCTCTCTCTATATATATATATATAGATGAATACCTATGCGACCACCCTTCGGGTGATAAGGAGGTCTGGGGGGGAGGAACCAACGTCTCACTCGATCGGTCTCACTATCGATCTCACCATCGGTCTCGCTCGATCGATCTCACTCGATCGATCTCAATCGATATCACAATCGATCTCACTCGATCTATGTCATTCGATCGATCTCACAATCGATCTGACTATCGATATCACAATCGATCTCACTATCGATCTCAGTATCGACCTCACAATCGATCTCACATGCAGTCTCACTATCGATCTCACGATCGATATCACAAACGATATCACAATCAGCGTCATTATTATCATCATCATCAACATCATCGTCATCAACGTCATGAACATCAGCATCATCATAATCATCGGGACACAATCATCATCACTCATCACCATCATCATCAACCTCATCACCACCATCATCCTCATCAGCATCAGGACGCTAGCATCGTCACCATCATCAGCATTAACATCGTCATCATCGGGACACCATCAGCATCATCATCAGCATCGAAAAACCACTATCATCATCATCTCATCATCATCATGAAAACATCATCAACATCACCATCATCATCATCGGGACACCATCATCATCAGCAGCAACATCATCATCAACATCATCATCGGGACACCATCATCATCATCATCGTCACCATCATCATCAACCTCATCACCACCATCATCCTCGGGACACCATCATCATCAACATCAGCATCATCATCGGGCCGCCATCATCAAAATCATCATCATCACCTCATCATCATCCTCATCATCATCATCGGGACACCATCACCGTCATCGCCATCATCAATATCATCATCATCATCATCATCGGAACACCATCATCATCACCATCATCATCAACAGCATCATCATCAACCTCATCATCACCATAATCATCGGGACACCATCATCATCATCAGCATCAACTCATCACCTCATCATCATCATCGGCATCATCAAAATCATCAACATCATCATCGGGACACCATCATCATCAGCAACATCAGCATCATCAACATCATCATCCGGACACCATCATCACCACCATGGCCATCATCATCACCATCATCATCAACATCGTCAACATCATCATCATCACCATCATCATCGGGACACCATCATCATCACCACCATTACCATCATCATCATCATCATCATCATCATCATCATCATCATCATCATCAACATCATCGACATCATCATCATCATCATCATCATCATCATCATCATCATCAGGACACCGACGGGGCACTGGCGGGACACCGGCTGGACACCGCGCGGCACCAGCCCCCGGAAAGGAAACATTTGGTCCGGCCGCGCCTCAGCCGGAGGCGGGACACCGGCGGGACTCCGCGCGGCACCGGCCCCCAGAAAAGAAACATTTGGTCTGGCCGCGCCTCAGCCGGAGGAGACTTTCTTCTCGCCCGCCCGCGCAGCTTCGTCTCGCCCGCACGCACGGCACGCACGAACACGAAACCGAAACCGATTTCCCGGTAGGGGGGCTCTCCGTTCCACTTCGATCTCACCCCCTCACCTCCGATGAATATGTATGTATGTATGTTGTTCTCACTCTCTCTCTCTCTCTCTCTGTTTCTGTCTTTCCTTCTCTCTCTCTCTCTCTATGTATACATATATACACACAAATATATCTCTCTTTCTCTCTCCCTTTCTCTCTTCCTTTCGTCTCCCTCTCTCTCTCTCTCAAAACTATACGTAGAGAGAGATGTCTTTGTATATCTATATGTATATATAGATGTATGGCTCTCTCTCTCTCTCTTCTCTCTGTTTTTTTGGGTTATCTCTCTCTCTCCGCCTATCACTTCTCTCTCTCTCTCTCTATCTAACTCGGTCTCTCTCTCTCTCTCTCTCTTTCGCTTTCTCGCTTTGTCTCTTTCTCTCTATCTCTCTATATCGGAGGTTGGGGGGTGAGATCGAACTGGAACGGAGAGCCCCCCTACCGGGAAATCGATTTCGGTTTCGTGTTCGTGCGTGCCGCGCGTGCGGGCGAGGCGAAGCTGCATGGGCGGCCGGGCGAGAAGAAAGTCTCCTGTGGCTGAGGCGCGGCCAGACCAAATGTTTGGCGACCCGGCGTTCGGGGCCGCGCGGTGTCCCGCCGCTGTCCCGCCGGTGTTCCGTCGGTGTCCCGTCGGTGTCCTGCGGTGTCCTGTCGGTGTCCCGTCGTGAGATCGATAGTGAGATCAATCGTGAGATCGATAGTGAGATCGATAGTGAGATCGATAGTGAGATCGATTGTGAGATCGGTAGTGAGATCGATAGTGAGATCGATAGTGAGATCGATAGTGACATCGATAGTGATATCGATTGTGAGATGTCGACCGTGGGCCTCAGGAGGCCTCAAACAAAAAAAACGTCGTCGTCGTTTGCCGCCGTGGGGCAGGTTCCCGGGGGAAGGGGATGGTACCAAGGCGCCCAATAGCGAAGGGTGACGTAAACAACTCGACACCAAAGCTCCCAAGAGTGAGCGGCAACGCAACAATCTCCAGTGGCATCGTCAGAACAACGATCACCACTGTTGCCCATTGCTGGGCCCCTCCCCCACCCAACCTCCGTATCACCTGCAGGGTGGTCGTCTAGGCGTATATATATATAATGTATCACTCTCTCGATATATACACACATATAACTCTCAAACGAAGAACAAACAAACGAAAACAACTACAAAAACGCTTCACGGCCGCTTGCTTGGGAAACATCCCGCGACACGTCGGAACTGGGCTCCCCCCCCAGATGTCCCGCGCGCCCGGACAAAACTGAGGGGACATCCCTCCCCCTTCGGAGGGGAGGGTGCTCGCACCACCACCCCCCCTTGCAGGTGAGGGGGGGGGATCTGGGCGCAGGAGAGAAGGGGGGGCCGAGGGGGTCGGGGGGCGGGGAGAGGAGGAGGAGGAGGAGAGCAGGAGGAGGAAACGGAGGAGGAGGAGGAGGAGGAGTGAGGAGGAGGAGGAGAGCAACTATACACACGCAAAGAAGGGGAGGGTGGGGAACGCACACGTCCGAGTGGGGTCCTCTTGCATCGCCGCGCCGGGCCCGCGCCAGCCCGCCGCTGTTTCCGCGGGCGCGCCGGGCCGTGCCGACCGGCAGCCGCCGCTGGCGCGGGTCGCCACTGTCGCCGGGCGCACGGGGGGGCGGTCTTTCTTTGGACACGGGCGAGTTCACTTGCATGGCATTGCCCCCCCTCCTCCTCCTCCTCCTCCTCCTCCTCCTCCTCCTCCTCCTCCTCCTCCTCCTCCTTAGCCGTCTTTTCCAGCAGCGCTGGGCCGAGCAAGCGTGCAGGTGAGTCTCGACTTGCGCGAAGCCCAGGTTCCCGCGCGGGCCTCACCACGCCCCTCCTCTCCCCCGCCCAGGCAAGCAAACTTACCAGAATCTAAAAACCAACTGCCTCCCGGTGGTCCAGACATCCAGCGCATTGACAAAATATACCAAGGAGCTGGAAGCACGCATGACTGGATTCGCATGTTCTGAAAAGAATCCTGGAGGCCTCGCGGGTCAAACTGAGACTCAGTTTTACGTCGGATCCACGTCAGATGTACGTCGGATTTACCTCCGAGTCGCGTCGGACTCATGTCGGAAAACGTCGCCGCGCGAACGTCGTCACATATCTAACGGGGCGGAACAACTTCTTGTTCGGCAGAGAGCTGGACCAGCAAGCGGCCAGGCTACGGTGGGACACGTACGAAGCGAAGCGGGGCCCGGGCAGGGGAAGGCAGGGGGTAAGGATGGGGAGGGCCGCGGGACGGCCAGAGCACCCTCAGAACTCCTCCTCCTCCTGCTTCTCCTGCTCCTCCTCCTCCTGCTCCTCCTCCTCCTCCTCCTGCTCCTCCTGCTCCTCCTCCTCCTCCTCCTCCTGCTCCTCCTCCTCCTCGTCCTGCTCCTGCTCCTCCTCCTCCTCCGTCTCAGACGAAGAAGAACTTCGGGACACAAGGCTGGCTCCTCTTGTGGAACATCCGGAGGCCACGCGCCACAGATACTGGCGCACACGGCCACGAAGGCCGAGATGGAACGATTCCTGGCCGCGTGCGTGTCCAACTCTCGCCCAGGCCGGCCACATCCAGTCAGTCAGTCAAGCCAGGCGCCAGGCAACGGCGCAGGCGTGGCCTGGCGCTGCTGCAGTTGAAACGAGGCGCATGCGGAGGCTCATGTTGTTCCCGTCCTACTTAAGGACCGCATCCTAGAAATAATTTCGAGCACCCAAAACACTGTCAAAAGAGTGTCGAAACAGTGTCGACCAGGGCCCGGCACGTGAAAACCATTGAGTTTCGGTACTTTATTTGGGCGCTCGAAACTCTTCCCGGCGATCAAGGCTAAAGCAGGTTGGAGCATCATAAGTCTGGGTGCACAGGCGTGGCCTGGCGCTGCTACACTTGAAACAGGGCGCACGCGTGGGCGCCACTATGCTACAAGATCCCCAGGCCCGTCGCGTCGCGAACGAGGCTCTGGGCGCGTGCCGCGTGTTTGGGTCCTCGGGGTGCCTCCTCATGGCCATGTGGCCAGCGTTGGGTCGGGCACGTCTTCCCACCAGGCGGATTCGGGAGGACAAAGCAAGCAGGGTCAACACAGGTTCAAAAAACAATCAAATTAGTAGAAAAATCGTCCCCGTACGATGTGTTTCTACTGTTTTTGAGTGTTCTTCCTGTAGAGGGACGTGCCCGAATCAAGGCCAGAGCCTGAACCTCCCCGAAGAGCTGGTCACGTCGTGCGCCCGGAGATGTCAGGAGGCAGCCTCTCTTGCGGGCCACACTTGGCATCGCTTGGCATTGCTTTGCTTTGCTTGGCGTTGCTTTGCTTGGCATTTCTTGGCATTGTCTGGCATTACGTGGCATTGCGTGGCGTTGCTAGATATTGCTCGGCATTGCTTGGCTTTCATCTACATTGCTTGGCGTTGCTTGGCACTGCTCAGCATTGCTTTGCGCTGCATCGCTTGGCATTGCCTGCCATCGCTTAGAATTGCTCGGCATTTCTGATCACTGCTTTGCATCGCTTGGCAATCCGGGGAACGCCCCTTCCAACACAAGACTTAGGTCGGGCATGTCCTCCTACAGGCGGTTTTTGGGCGAACTTTGTAAAAAGGGCCAAGCATATTCCCAAATAGTCAAACATAGTCGAAACATCGTCCCCCGACTTCTTGTCGGGCTATTTTTGAATACTCCTCCTGTAGAGGGTCATGCCCGACTTAACACAAAGACCAAGGAAACTGGGGAACCCGGGGAACCCGAGGAAACCCGGGCTCCCAAAAACAGTAGACGGAAACAACCCCAGAGAGGCACGGAACGACCCCCCGGGTGCCCGAAGCAGGCCAGCCGGCGCGGGCCCCGCGCACCCGCCGGCGGGTCGGGAACAACTGAGAACCCCTACAGCCCTCCTCGAAAGCAAACGCAAGCTGTTGTTACCCCTCCTCGCCACCCCACCCCCCCTCTCAGTGCTCGGCACCCCCTACAAAACCCTCCTCGAAATCAAGCGCAAGCTGCTTTTACCCCCTCCCCCCTCGCCCGCACCCACACCCCCGAGTCTCAATGCTCGGCGACGCGCGACATGCGGGCCGCGGTGTCCGAAGAAACATATAGGCGGCCAAATTCGACGCGAACGCTGAAACCGTCGATCCGGGGGCGCCGCTACGCCACGAACCCCAAAAAACACGTGCTTCGGACTTCCTCGGTAGGCCCAGGGACCAGGAGACGGCAGGGCCGCTGTTTTACCGTTTCCGAAAAAGTGTCTCTTGAAAATGGAAGCGGCAAGAAAACGGAGACTGGAACCGCCAAAAGACCCAGCAGTGGAACCGGAGCAGGAACCGGTAAACAAACGGCGACGGAACATGACGGCTCCCAAAAAAAACGACGTCGGGACCGGCAAAAAAACGGCAAAACGGAACCGGTAACAAAAACGACCCTGTCGTTTCCAGGGACCACAAAGGGCAGCCCTTCTCAGAAGGCTCGTAAGTTCCCTGGCCTTCTA